TAATACAGAAACTCGGTTTGTATAAATACAGAAGAGGGATGGACTAATCCCAGGAAGAAATTGGCTGCCTCTGACTTGAGGGTTTCCTTACAGACATTTCTGCTTCCTTCAGCTGCGTTTGAATAAACGTGCCCATCCCTCCTTTATCTCTTGTGTCCCTGGAAGGGGCTCCGCACGTGGCATTATGTTCTCTCCATTTCTCTGCCCTCCTCTCTTAACCCAGGGAGCAGGTCTGCATCTTCTGCAGCAGGTAGGCAAAGAGCCCCAAGCAGCCTGGGTGAGCTGACCACTCTCCCAGCTGGCAGGGGTGTGGAGGGCTGGGGGGGAAGGCATGTAACATGGATGGCTGGTGTTTCTGCCCGGTTAGAAAGTCCTATTTGCAGCCTGAGCCTTGGGTATAATAACGAATCCAATATTATACCTGTAAATGTGGGACTTTTAAAAGTTTGAGATCTTCCTCAGAATGTGGTTTGGGTGAGGATGGTCCTTTGCAATTTTATCAATATTTAAAAAGATAGAAAACCCGGAAAGCAATGATAGACAATAGATTATCTAGGGAAAACAAGCTTTTAGGCATTGTAGGTGAAAAATGACTAAAAACGTTAAGATTCATGTCCTTGCATTCCTACATTTGATAATCTTTGAAAAGCTGTTAACCTTCGTGTCGATCATGCTTAAACTCCTTCTGAATTCTCAGAAACTTGTGCGCGCACACAGGCTTCTCTTTTCCAAATTCTTTGTTATGGACTTTATTATTATTTCTCTGAAGGTGATGGGAACCACCAAAATCCACTTACCGAATTGTAAACTTAAAAAACACCAAAGGATAACATTTAGACAGCATTTGTACTTTTTACATAACTATATTCTCATACTAAGTCACCGCAGAAAACTTGCAACACAGAAAAAAAAAAAAAAGTTAACTCTTATCTTCATCTAAAAGAAAATCACTGTTAGTATTTTAATGCTAAATCTTTTCTCCGTGCTTCTCAACACAGAGATCATGCCCATACTCTTGTATTTTGCTTTCTTTACCTGGTAGGACATAATGCATATTTTCCCATTTTATCAAAACTTTCTAATCTTACTGAGATGGACTATACTTATCAATTCTCTGCTAGAATTTTAGAAAGCATCATCAGATTCTGCTCAAGTTTTCACTATTATGAATGAGAACAAAGAACACCCCACTCATTTCTGATTTTCCTTTTCAAAAAAGAAAACAAGATTTACTTGTTTGTTTTGGAGAGAGAGCACATGAGCAGGGGCAGGAGCAGAGGGAGAGGAAGAGAAGCAAACTCCTGCTGAGTGTGCAGCCTGACATGGGACTCAGTCTCAGGACCCTGAGATCATGACCTCAGCTGAAATCAAGTGTGATGCTTAACTGACTGAGCCACCCAAGCCCCCCTCAGATTATTCCTTTAGAACAAATACCTAGAACTGATATTTCTGTATCACAGTGGGACATTGTGCCCAAATGGTCCACAAGAGAGTCTGTACCAGCTCATACTCCCACTGCCATGAGAATGACCCCTTCTCCACATGGACCTCTTCTGGGTGATCACGAGGATTTTTTTTTTTTTTTTTTTCAGTTTAAATTTCTGGCTAGTTTCTCTAATTGGCCAATGGAATCTTGATGTTTTAATTTATAATGCTTTTAATGTTTATTGCCCATTGATGTTATTTAAAGGACGGATGGTTTAAGAACGTACAAATCTGAGGAGTATCTGCACATGAATTATGATTTCATTTAATTGAGTGGCCGGTACACGTATTTTACAGATGACACATCACGGAGGAGGGAAAAGAGCCAGCTGAGGACTGTGGCTCCCCCCGGCTCAGGGCTGGAGCACCACGGCCGTCCTCCGGCCACACTCCGTTCAGCACGCCCTCCCACAGGCAGGCAAACCATGCCTAGTGATGCCAGTAAATGATGTACCTAGACTCTCTTTAAGCTGCCCAACTTGTAAATGGAAGAAAAGATTCTGTGGTTTCCATTACTATGGTATAATTCATATCATTGGGGAAACAAATGGCATGTCAAAGGAAAGAGGATGGCCCCAGGAAGATGAGACTTTTCATCTGGGGTGACCGCACACCATGGAAACCTGCGTTGGGCGTTAGAAGGACAGGGAGAAGAACCCCTTCTAGGGCCTGAATCGGGGAGCCCTCCCTCACGTGAGCTTGCTCCGGAGCTGAGATCTGAAGCCTCCCATGTAGGTTTTGGACGGAAGCAAGCAGAGGCTGCGGCAAGTCTGAGGCCGGCGCAAGGAAGGCGTGTTGCCGGGACGCTGACCCGCTCAGGCTGCTCTTCAGAGGACGGAGAGCAGCGTGTGCTCACCAACAGCTGTTCAGGAATCGATCCCTAACCAATCGTTATTATTCCTAAGTGACACCAAAGTATCCATGATTTTTATCGGACCAGTGTAAAGATGGTCCGATGGTGGGCTACAGGGTCACTGACTTCCACCCGTTGGATGGGCCGTAGAAGCACGGGGCTCCCATGTCATCACGTTTAGTTGACATAGTGGAAATACGGGACACACGTGCTTCTGTTGAGAGGAAACTGACATCGGACCAGATGCTAGTTCCGGCGCACACGTGGTCACTCGGGATCTGCAGTGACCATCGAGTAACCACCACAGCTACTGGTTAGCACTCATCACCACACACAGGGGGGTCGTCTTCTTGTGCGGAAAGCTTTGAAGATTTATTCTCTTAAGCAACTTTGGTCTCTGCAATGCAATATTATGAACTGCAGTCTCCAAGCCTATGTCACATCCCCGGGACGTCCTTATTTCATAACCGCGAGCTTGTACCTTCAGACCTCTCCACCCATTTCACGCACGCCGCCCCCCCCGCCGGCAACGCCCTCTCTGCTTTGAGTCGGAGTGGGTGGACTGGTTGGTTTTTAGATTCCATATGTAAGTGAGATCAGACAGTGTTGGTTTTTCTCTGTGTGACTGCCTTCATTTCACCGTGTTTCAATACAAACTAAAGAGGTAGTTTCTGGGTGGGAGAGAATGCATCACTTATAGACGAATTTAGAAGGAGGTCTTTAAGGCTGTGAGCTTTCTATGCAAACCTGAAATTTTAGGGATGTTTTTCTCTGAAAGCTTGACCAAAAAGAACACTAATGAAGAAGACTGAGACGGTTACACGGTGATCAGCAGTTTCTAAAATACATAGGTGATAAGGAAAATCCCATTCTGCGTAACTGGAATCATTATGCAGATT